TCAGAATATCTTACTGGGATCTCAAAACGTCGAGATTTGATGAAAACTCGATTTTAGAAAATCGGGATGAACCCAATAACGTCCCTATTTTTGAAAATTTTCAATTTTCTTAGCGAGAAGTTAAAAATATAAAATTTTAAAAATAATAAATTCAATTTGTTATAATTTCAAGTAAAAGTAGCAGCCTAATTTACTCGTATTTTCAAAAACTGTCATTAATATATTAATAATGATATACCGTCATTGCATATACGTATTTGAACTTAAGTTTAAAATTTTGCCACTCTAAAAATAACTCTGTATAAGGAGATAAAGTAGATTTATCAGTTGCACGTAGTAAAAATAATATTACACGCGATTGTGCAGTGGATATATACTCGCAGGTACCTACTTCATCGCAGTCGACTGGTTCTTTGACTCTTTCTACTTTTATTTCCGGATGAATCCGTGGCTGTTCGCTATGTAATCTATAATATTAATACCACTTAGTGAGTGTTAAACTGGCATTTTTACACGCGATTGTGCAGTGGATATATACTCGCAGGTACCTACTTCATCGCAGTCGACTGGTTCTTTCACTCTTTCTACTTTTATTTCCGGATGAATCCGTGGCTGTTCGCTATGTAATCTATAATATTAATACCACTTAGTGAGTGTTAAACTGGCATTTTTACACGCGATTGTGCAGTGGATATATACTCGCAGGTACCTACTTCATCGCAGTCGACTGGTTCTTTGACTCTTTCTACTTTTATTTCCGGATGAATCCGTGGCTGTTCGCTATGTAATCTATAATATTAATACCACTTAGTGAGTGTTAAACTGGCATTTTTACACGCGATTGTGCAGTGGATATATACTCGCAGGTACCTACTTCATCGCAGTCGACTGGTTCTTTGACTCTTTCTACTTTTATTTCCGGATAAATCCGTGGCTGTTCGCTATGTAATCTATAATATTAATACCACTTAGTGAGTGTTAAACTGGCATTTTTACACGCGATTGTGCAGTGGATATATACTCGCAGGTACCTACTTCATCGCAGTCGACTGGTTCTTTCACTCTTTCTACTTTTATTTCCGGATGAATCCGTGGCTGTTCGCTATGTAATCTATAATATTAATACCACTTAGTGAGTGTTAAACTGGCATTTTTACACGCGATTTTGCAGTGGATATATACTCGCAGGTACCTACTTCATCGCAGTCGACTGGTTCTTTCACTCTTTCTACTTTTATTTCCGGATGAATCCGTGGCTGTTCGCTATGTAATCTATAATATTAATACCACTTAGTGAGTGTTAAACTGGCATTTTTACACGCGATTGTGCAGTGGATATATACTCGCAGGTACCTACTTCATCGCAGTCGACTGGTTCTTTGACTCATTCTACTTTTATTTCCGGATGAATCCGTGGCTGTTCGCTATGTAATCTATAATATTAATACCACTTAGTGAGTGTTAAACTGGCATTTTTACACGCGATTTTGCAGTGGATATATACTCGCAGGTACCTACTTCATCGCAGTCGACTGGTTCTTTCACTCTTTCTACTTTTATTTCCGGATGAATCCGTGGCTGTTCGCTATGTAATCTATAATATTAATACCACTTAGTGAGTGTTAAACTGGCATTTTTACACGCGATTGTGCAGTGGATATATACTCGCAGGTACCTACTTCATCGCAGTCGACTGGTTCTTTGACTCATTCTACTTTTATTTAAGTTTATTGTGTTTTTCTACATTCAATCAAACTCTGCAAGTATCTACCCTTTTGTCATTTTGTTAAAGTGAATTTTACATCGCATAGTGTAGTGTATAAAGAAAACATGTGGGAAAATGTACTTAAAAAAATGACGACTGATTTGGAGCTCGTTAGTGAATAGCGCACCCAAGCAGACCAACTCCACAAGCAGCATCTATAGGCAGCCATCGCCCTCTTCGACCGTATTAAAGGAAGTGAACGACTTCTGATACAAAGGTCTGATCATCAGATATGACGTACCCATCCACACCATGTCCATCCATCCACACCATGTCCATCCATCCATGAAAGTCCGTTACACACTGAGATGTATCTTCCCAACACACAGAAATAACACGATTTAATGCACACTATTGCTTAGAGTCAGATACCTATTTCTAGGGACATACCAACCAAAACTCACTGACTGAAAAAAGAGCTCTACAGTTTAATGCACACTATTGCTTAGAGTCAGATACCTATTTCTAGGGACATACCAACCAAAAATCACTGACTGAAAAAAGAGCTCTACAGTTTAATGCACTCTATTGCTTAGAGTCAGATACCTATTTCTAGGGACATACCAACCAAAACTCACTGACTGAAAAAAGAGCTCTACAGTTTAATGCACACTATTGCTTAGAGTCAGATACCTATTTCTAGGGACATACCAACCAAAACTCACTGACTGAAAAAAGAGCTCTATAGTTTAATGCACACTATTGCTTAGAGTCAGATACCTATTTCTAGGGACATACCAACCAAAAATCACTGACTGAAAAAAGAGCTCTACAGTTTAATGCACACTATTGCTTAGAGTCAGATACCTATTTCTAGGGACATACCAACCAAAAATCACTGACTGAAAAAAGAGCTCTACAGTTTAATGCACACTATTGCTTAGAGTCAGATACCTATTTCCAGGGACATACCAACCAAAAATCACTGACTGAAAAAAGAGCTCTACAGTTTAATGCACACTATTGCTTAGAGTCAGATACCTATTTCTAGGGACATACCAACCAAAACTCACTGACTGAAAAAAGAGCTCTACAGTTTAATGCACACTATTGCTTAGAGTCAGATACCTATTTCTAGGGACATACCAACCAAAAATCACTGACTGAAAAAAAGAGCTCTACAGTTTAATGCACACTATTGCTTAGAGTCAGATACCTATTTCTAGGGACATACCAACCAAAAATCACTGACTGAAAAAAGAGCTCTATAGTTTAATGCACACTATTGCTTAGAGTCAGATACCTATTTCTAGGGACATACCAACCAAAAATCACTGACTGAAAAAAAGAGCTCTACAGTTTAATGCACACTATTGCTTAGAGTCAGATACCTATTTCTAGGGACATACCAACCAAAACTCACTGACTGAAAAAAGAGCTCTACAGTTTAATGCACACTATTGCTTAGAGTCAGATACCTATTTCTAGGGACATACCAACCAAAAATCACTGACTGAAAAAAGAGCTCTACAGTTTAATGCACACTATTGCTTAGAGTCAGATACCTATTTCTAGGGACATACCAACCAAAACTCACTGACTGAAAAAAGAGCTCTACAGTTTAATGCACACTATTGCTTAGAGTCAGATACCTATTTCTAGGGACATACCAACCAAAACTCACTGACTGAAAAAAAGAGCTCTACAGTTTAATGCACACTATTGCTTAGAGTCAGATACCTATTTCTAGGGACATACCAACCAAAACTCACTGACTGAAAAAAGAGCTCTACAGTTTAATGCACACTATTGCTTTAGAGTCAGATAACTATTTCTAGGGACATACCAACCAAAAATCACTGACTGAAAAAAGAGCTCTACAGTTTAATGCACACTATTGCTTAGAGTCAGATACCTATTTCTAGGGACATACCAACCAAAACTCACTGACTGAAAAAAGAGCTCTACAGTTTAATGCACACTATTGCTTAGAGTCAGATACCTATTTCTAGGGACATACCAACCAAAACTCACTGACTGAAAAAAGAGCTCTACAGTTTAATGCACACTATTGCTTAGAGTCAGATACCTATTTCTAGGGACATACCAACCAAAAATCACTGACTGAAAAAAGAGCTCTACAGTTAGGGTAGCTCCCGTTTGTTTCAGAGGATCTGATAAGATAGAACCATAGGATAAAAATAAAAGATATCGTATTGTTTTCCATAAAATGCTGTTATGGTATCAGTGGCAACATTTAGTAATATAAAAACTATTTTAATACGCAATTGAAATTGATTTGATTTTTAAATTCTTTGACCTCAACTAGCAGAGGCAATGTCGATTACCTACGCCCGATATTGCCTTGTATTTTACGGCAGATTTGAAATTAGGGGCAAAAATCAATTTATGGAACTGAAATAGAAGAGAGATAAAGGACGTATGGCAACCGTGTCTACAACCCTAACTTTATAATATATACTTGTTATCGTTGGTCTATCTGTTAGTGACCGTTTAATTTCAGTACAACTTGACCGATTGATTCAGACGACATATTTGTTTTGTAGACAATGACTTAGCTCTAGCACATAGCTATGCTAGTATCCGATAGGTGACGCTGTAGTCACAACTCTCATATTCACAATATGTTGATTTAGTGCCAAAAATAAAATTACGAAATCAGGACTGAAGTGATCGGGAGTGAGTTCAAAGTAAAAATTAACCACTCCTCTTACTGGATAGAACAGAACAACGTCCGATGTGATAGTAAAGTAATTTAAAAAAAAATTTAGATGACAAAACAAAACTAATAATAAAAAAAACTAATAACACGTTGATAAAAAGTGACGTAATCGTCGAGACAAATTGTATTAGAGCAGGCAGTTAACAAAGAGAAATATATAACATGGCTATTTACTGCAAAAGGAGTCTTTACATGAAGTTAATATTCAACAATCGAGGCCAGTTGCAGTTGCAACGCGTCTCCGCACTTCAAATGTTAACTTACACAAGATGACAATGCTGACACTGTAAAATTTTGACATTGATATGAAACACGGAAGTTACGGCAACCTGGAAATGTGAACTCAATTTGTAATTAATTGAAGAAAAAAGTTGACAGTTGACGTTTCGGCATCGTCGGTTCGCGCGCTTTTACGCGCTGATTATTTTTTCTTTATTCGTTTCGTTTTTCCATAATTTAAAAATGCTGTGACTAAATAGAAGTGAAATTGGTGAATGCTTATTCTTGTACTAAGTTTTTGCTTTTTAACAAAATTTATTTTTAAGCTCAACAATGAAAATGAAAATCGCCAATAATGTAGGTATGTATTAAAGTCACAACTTTTTTATGTATTTGGATAAGAACGTTTATGTACGTATTTAATTATATATTGTATAAAGTATTTAATGTAAAATTATAATATTGTTGCGTTACTACTTTACTTTTTAAAAACAGTATACAATGAAAGAGAAATCTTTTTATAAAATTACAAACACAGATAATATAAAATATAATTTTAAAAATAATATTTCACCGTTTTAAACTCTGTATAAATAAAAACATTTGTTTTCTTTTTGTTAATTTAAATCGTGGAATCACCTCGTCTGTCTGTCTGTCACGAGGTTTTCATCGTCTTTCGATTGAATTTTGCTACAGTTGCAATATGATGTTGTCCATATGCAGACGTGAGATACGAAATCGAATTTATGATTTATGGTTAAGGGGTTTATTTTTTAAGAGTAGAGCGCTAAGCTAATTTTTCTGAGAGCATGATGAGGGATGACTATTGAAATCACTTTGAAAGACCATTTAAAAATTATTTTTTAAGGTTAACTTTATTTTTTCAGGGTAATTTTATTTCATTCGGATAAACATACTTTAATATTACGTCTATCAACATAACCTTAAAGGATTTGACGGCTCCGTGACATACCTAGTGGCTCAGTAATAAGTTACGACGATGAGAGCCGTAGGTTTGAATCCCGCGTGGAACAAGTATTCTTATAGCGCACAAATGACTGTTCTCAGTTTGTCCTTTTGAAATGTATGTCTATTCTGTCTCCTCGATACAGGAGAAACCTAGTGTGAGAGTTACGTTTTTTAAAGAAAGAAAGAAGGAGAAAATAAATGCGAAAAAATCTGAAAAAAAAAAACACGAATATTATAAATAAAATACGAATATTATGTCCGTACATGATCTGATATATAAAAATTAATTTTTGTTTGTTCGTATTTTATGCGCTGCCTTACCGTTCATCAGATTGCGGTAAAACATTGTCAACTTATTGCTTGCACTTCCGTGAAGGTTATATGCATATTACCCGGTAGATGGCGCTGTTGTAGAATCCAAATATCATCCGTGTGATCTATAAGGAAAATTATTAAAAGAAATTGTCGTTAATTCGTAATTGAACTCCTTTTCTGTCAGCTTAGTTGACACTATCCTTCTTTCTGTTTCTGTCACGTAGCAGCAGCAGAGTCACGTCTGTGGTAAGCTTTGTAGGATACCCTTGAAACATAATAATCTTTTTTCTCAAACACGAAATCATCTGGATAATAATAGTCTGTCAGATATTTCATCTTGATCCTGGTATTTTATTACGTGGTAGAGCCATGCTACAGCTATATTACTGGTATAGTTGTAGCACGAATGGGTCCGCTCGAAAGGGGATGGACCCGCTCTCACAGAATACCAGCGTAAAATAGTAGCTTAATACTGCTGAGTTTTTTATGGTAAGTGTAGAGAACTGGAGACACTCTTTACTGGAAACGACGCATTCCATCTTAGTCCTCACAGGTGACAACGCATCTGCATTTCGATTCATAATCGAGGATATATGTAGATGACTATGGGCCGCAGTAACAACTTAACATCAGGTGGTCTGTGTGCTCGTTTGTCACCTTTATCCTATAAAAAAAACAATTTGAGAAAAGTCTCAAATGTAGTAAGAAAACCAGGCATAACATAGGTTCCCACCTAGATTGCCTCCTGAGGTAACTACTGCAGTTTTTGTGTTTAGGTACTAGTTATTATAAGGAAAGTGCTGCTGCGCATCAAACTTCTTTGTTTCGCTCTGTCGTCATCCACGGTATGATATGGGAAAGTGGATATTCTTACACCGCCACTACAATATCAACACATTAAAAACGTACATTTTTTTATTAACCGCCTTTACCGCCCTGGGTTCTAGCCCTTCTGAGCCTGGACATTTAATTAAATGACAGAACAGAACAGATAATAATAATAATGTAATATCCTCCAAACCGAATTTCGGTCACGGCGGCCAGCCTCAGCGGAGACTAGCCATCGGTGCAGGACAGGATCATAGTACTCGAGTGTATGCGCAAGCACTGATGCACTCTCTACCTCCTCTATTTCCCTCACTTTTATAATCCGATGGGATGGTAAACCAACACGACCGGAGAGAGATCAGGTGCAGGACCAAAGGCTTTACGTGCTTTCCGAGGCACGGGGGTGGGACATCGTCAACTTCCTGACTCCGGGCAGTTATTGAGAAATTATTAATGGAATACCTCAATAAGGAATATTTTTTTGGCCCAACCCGGGATTCGAACCCAGGACCTCTTGATCAACAGTCGCACTACTACAACCATTAGACCAACAAGGCGGCAACATAACAGATAATAAATAAAAAACAGATATAAAAGAAATCCGGTATAATATTTGTAGTAAAACTGGAAACCAAACGGTCTTCGCCAGGTCATCGATCCACGAACCGACTCCGCCTCCGCCTACTGTAACCGCCCAGTTACCAACGAGGTTCAAGGTCATCGCTTATTTATTAAACTGGCAACCAACCAGAACAGCCTCGCTGTTAGGACTAGTGCACTCGTGTCTATCGTCGACGTACGTGACTATACGTCCTCGCGATGACGTCACGAAGAAGTCGTGTTGTTTTTTTTTTATAGGATAGGGTGACAAACGAGCACACAGTCCACCTGATGGTAAGTAGTTGCTGCGGCCCTTAGACATCTACATCTATCCTCGATTACGAATCAAAATGCAGATGCGTTGTCACCCGTGAGGTCTAAGATGGAATGCCTCGTTTACAGTAAAAAGGGTCTCCGGTCTCTACACTCACCATACGAAACACAGCAGCGTTAAGCTACTATTTCACGCTGGTATTCTGTGAGAGCGTGGTACTGCCCCGGTCGAGCCGAACCATTCGTGCTACGACTATAGTACTAATATAACTGCAGCATGGCTCTACCACGTATAAGGAATGATACAGCGTAGAGTGATATAATGATGCCGCGCGGTTGCCGCTTTGATGCTGCGCGTTTTCCGCGTTGATCCGTGCGATTGCCAAAAGGACATTTAAGGGACATTCAGCATTACTCGCTTTCGAGAGCTTTCGAGGAAATTCGGTAGCGGTTTTTATAGTCCTCGTAACTCTGATCATGGGGGGTATACTGCCATAGTTGCCACTCTTGGCGAGTGGATTGGCAACCGCAGTTTTGTTGTTGTACAGTTGCTGTTATCAGGAAAATGCTGCTGCCCATCTCCTGCCTCCTGATTCCCTTTGTCGCCTTTTACACCGACACCCACGGGAAGATATGGGATAGTGGATGGTTGCAGGTGGCTCAGGACCGTGCTTTGTGGTTGGCATTCCTTGGGGTAGGCCTATGTTCAGCAGTGGACTTGTGAGGGGCTGTAATGATGATGATGAAGATGATATTTTTAGTAACTATATTAAAATTAATAAACTGATAAGTGAACGTGATTGTACGAAGAGTCCACGTATATTTCTATTAACGACTGGTTCGAAATAAAACCTCTGTCTTGGGAAGAACCAGCAAGAAACCTAGCAGGACAATTTTTTTAAATAACAGCTTACAATCATGTATGTTACAATTAACAACACAAAACGAATCAGAAATGATTTGGTAGTGATCACCTTACCAGGAGTTATTGTCATCTATAAAATCATTAATATTAAAACTACCATTTTTATACAAACTTAGTTTAATAAAGTTCTTCAATTTTGTGTAGGTCAAATTGTGTATTTTTTTTTTTTTTTTTTTTTTTTGTAAAAACGTATACATCGCCCGAAGAATGAATTACTGACTCGGTGGAGTCAAGTAACTGGTACCACTAGCTTGCGTCTGTTCCTAGTATTTACAGAATGAATATCACTTATTTTTGTAAAACCACTTTTATTTTTGTGTACGTAGTACATTACATTTTCATAAATGTATTGAGAAACCAAAGTAAAATATATCAATTTCTTTAAATTTTTGTCTGAGCTACACTACTATTTTACGTGGTAGAAGCACGCTGCAGCAACATTTTGTTTGCAGCACGAATGGATCGATTCGACCGGGGAAGGACCACGCTCTCACAGAATACCGGCGTAAAATAGCAGCTTAATGCTGCTGTGCTTCGTATGGTGAGTGTAGAGAACCGGTGATACTTTTTACTGGAAACGAGGCATTCCATCTCAGTCCTCAGGGGTGACAACGCATCTGCATTTTGATTCTTAATCGAGGATAGATGTAGATGTCTATGGGTCACAGCATCCACTTACCATCAAGTGGACTGTGTGCTTGTTTGTCATCCTTATTTTATAAAAAAAAAACTTTAGGCTTTAAATAACAGATTGCTCTAATGGCCCTCTTCTGTAAAACAAATATAATTTCAGTGTCAGAATACATTTGCCTTCATAGTATATACCTAACAATTTTAATCCTTATACATAAAATTCTTCTATCCATATGTATGACTGAAATCCTCCTAAACAGCTGGATCGATTTTGATGAAATTTTGTGTGTGTGTGTGTGTGTGATTAAGATGATTCAGGAATGGGTTAGATTCACAATTAGACTCGGTAGATGGCGTTGTTTACGAGATCCAGAAATCATCTGTGCTGAGCCATGGCGTATCGCTAGTTATTTTATATTTTTGCTCCCTTTTTAATAAAGATATAGATCATGTTCTCCGATACATGTAAATATAACCACTTAATCGATTGTTCTGAGCCCTTTTCTCTTTTAATTTTATAGTTACATAGAAGAAACTGTAAGTTTTTTTTTGCGCCCGAAGCAAATATGGGCAACCCTCCGGAAAGCGGGGGAGGGAGGTTGGGAATGCTCATAGCATACCACGCAGCCGGCTGCGTGGTTATGTGGTGACTTTTACCCACTAAACCCAACCTTTTAGGAATTGGCTTCACGATCTGACTAGAGATCTCTAAGCCGTATACGAACGCGACCCTCCTTGGCAGAAAGGAGGGCGCAACACTGTAAGCAACTCATAATTTAACAGTGACCCTTTTACTGGAAACGAGGCATTCCATCTCG